AAGTGCACGGCCACTAACTCTAGACTTCACTGTCCTTGATGTATCATTTTAACAACTCCATGTTGATCAATCATCTTCTCTGGTAGCTGTTATTCTGGATTATCAAGCCAGAAGCAAACAAAGGAAGGCATGGAAGTTTGAGGTTGCAACCTTTGAAAGTAAACATCTAGTAACTTCTCCCAACAAAACAGAGGTGAGCTTTCTGTTTGTTCCTCTTCTGAGCAGAATCTGCTGCTAGATGATCTTGGGAAAATGGGTACACACTGTCTTAAAGGAAAAGTACTATTCACCAACAAAAAGTTGCAAACCAGTGATAGTGGCATCAACATGGATGAATTCCCAAAACCTTGTGCTGAACAAAAGAAGCCGGACACAAAAGAGTATGTGTGCTCTGATTCTACTTCTGTGAAATTCTAGAACAAGCAGACTAAGCTACTGTAACCAAAGAAGAATTAATGGTGGTTGCATTGGATAGGGTGGGGGACCACTGATGAAAGAAGTTGGAGTGATGGAAATGTTCATTTTGGTTGTGACAAGTGGTGAGGTATAGGCAGTTGTCAGAACCCAGTGAACTGAACACTTAAAATGGTGCATTTTATTGAGGTAAAGTACATTTCAGTAAAGTTCATTTATAAAAGCCATATATTGCCAACAGATACGCTTTTATTTTTATTTTTAACAGATACACTTTAAAAGTCACATTTTTGGCAGACATTTTGCTTCAAGCTGCAAAGTTAACTTCTCATTCCACCCAGAGTAATGACAGGAAGAACTGACCTGCAAATGGGGACTAGGAACGCATTTCTATTCTCATCCAGCTATTTCAACCATATCCCAGTTTCATTATTCTATATTTATACAATGTGTGAAACACATTCTATAAACAGACACAAAATGTGTTTCAGTACCTAACAAAATGATTTTTTAAAATATCCACTATTTTGGCTATAGAAATTAGGAAAATCTGACTAGATACTTAAAAATAGATTTTGAACAAAAGTAAGTAAAACTTACCTTTTGGATAATCTTCTTTATCATATAAATTTTTGAGTATTCGATTAGTATAGATGTTTTTAATCTCAAGCTCACGATCCTTCTCCTGAAAAGAACCACAATACCAATTTTTCCAGAAATGTTTGTTTTTATCAACTCTGATTTCTTTTAAAAAACAATTTAACTGAGCTCAGTATCCTTTAAATAAAATCGATAGATTTTAGAAGAAACAGAAATAGGCCATATTATTGT